ATTTCATTCACTGTTTTGATGTGTTCTCCTAGACGATGATATAACGGTGCTAACGTCACCGCGTCTCTCTGCGTGTCACTTAAATCAAAGAGTAATTTTCGCAACATGGCGGCTAAATGTTTTTTTTCTTTGCGTACCTCATCCTTCAAGTTAACCGTGGTAGATGTGGTGCTATTCAATAGAATCTTTCTCTCTCTGATGACTTCCAGTTCCTTGATAAAGATGTTAGTACGAGGACAGTCAGTGGACGAGCTGGTCTTGTACATAACACCCATGTATTTAGCCAGTTGAAGCAATGACAATAAAGCCAACACGACGCCAAGGCGAGGTATCAGCCATTTTAAGGAAGAACGAACCATACTCTATAACAAACAACAGTAATTTTGATAAGCTAGTTGTGGTCAAACCATATACATACACATTTTGGTTTTAACCAGGAGTTAAAGGTGGCTGGACCCCCTCACGCTTGACCGCTACCTTCCACTTTTGGAACGCTGGTGCATAAACGTGTCTTATCCGATTGCAAATCTTTTTTGCACATAAGTCACATAAAGATTGAATTAATGTTTGATGCARTTTTTAATGAGATCGGACGTCATAACACGTGATTATGATGAAATATTTGTTTTCGTTCAGAAAATAATTTTAGCCTTGCAGAGCGTTCAACACTAAAATGCTTCGTGCCACATAATTATATACTAGATGCCTCCATTTGTAGGGATTTTTGAAAAAATCTATCAAGCCAATTATGAGATATTTGAGATTATTTAAATATAGTGCATAATCTACTTCAAAACTAAACAATGGATTTCATACGGCCGAAATTAATATTTCAGAGCCATATATTCACAAAAGTCATTGCTCATTTAGTTTTACTCTGTATCTAGTTTTAAAAGGAACATTTTGAAGGTAATCGACTTATGCGATTTCGTGAAAAAGTACAGTGCATAAGACGGGGTAAACATTTGATGCGCACTTTTCATCGCAGTGTTTTAGTCAATCTTACTAGATCTTCCATTATTCTAAAATTCGCTGATCATTTCTCTCAAAACTACGTCTGGATACAAATTTGAACTTAAACTAATATTACACAAAATTGCAAGACTATTGAACTCATTTAAAGCGATCTAAAGCGAACGAGAAATACAGAAAACATTTTCCCTTTCCCAACGATTTGATGCTCTGGGAATTCTATTGTTTGCTAATGATCATAACATCAAATTCTTTCGTACCATGCACGGTCCTATCTTGCTTGGCTGCTTTCCGATTTACTCCCGAAGATTGGTAATAAACAGTTTTTTTTATTCAAGCGTGGGACGTTTGTCATGATGTACTTTGCCGTCAGTGTGAGTGAATAGAATCGGCGAACATGCCTCAAGTAAAAACTTCAAGAAAGAAGCGAGCAAGACTTTTGAGTTTAAATAAAGAACCATACTTCGGGAGTTTGCAATCGGATAAGACACATTTATGCACCAGCGTTCCAAAAGAGGAAGGTAGCGGTCAAGCGTGAGGGGGTCCAGCCACCTTAATACCAAGAATCTAGATTTCTATAAAGTTATACATCAAATAATTGATAAAGTAAATCAAGTGAACGAATGAAGCAAGCAAAAGAACGAGAAAACATTACTTACAAAACCRAAACTGGTAGACACGAGGACTGAGTAGAAAAACTACTGAAGGCCAAGGGATCTCATACTAATTTGAATATTAGATGAGCTTGAAAAATCCGTAAAGGCGGTAAACAATGAAAACAGGAGCTCTGTTGTATTTGCAGATGTTGGCTTCGGCATCGGTGTTAATCCGCCTATTGTTCGTAACCGGTTATCGTGGTGATAGAAGAAGCATATGGAAATATAATCATGTTTATTAATAATTGTATTTAAGGATGGTGGGTACAGTTCGCGACCCATTTTTATTTAAATGAAACTGTGTCAGTTATTTAGAGTACCCAAGGGCTATCTAAAAATGTGAAAAAATTGGGGGGTCCCCACGCATCCAAGCGAGATAATTGTCACTAAAGACCCGATGACGTAAGCGCATTTCGAAGCACTTCAAAAAATCTCATATCCCTTGTGTTTGGCTTAAGTACATTGAAATCTTGTCTAAAATAATCTTAAACATGAATATTTTTCATATTGATAAAAAGATTTGAAGTTGCAAAGGTGAAAGTACATTTTTCGCAAAAGTAGGTAAAATTTCAATTTCGGACAAAACACAAAATGAAAAAAGAAACTACTCAGAATTATTTTTATTTTTGAAATAGTACATTCAAAATTATCTTAAGTGTTTACAAAACATACCAAGCAAATAAAAAACTGGGGTCGCAATGCGTTTTTTGGAGTTATAATTTTTTTAATATCAGATTTCCAGCTTTCTTCCATCGATGGTTACAAATTTCCTCCACCCCTCCCCTGAGAGACGTGGTTGAGCATTGCATTATGGGATGGTAAACATGGCGGACTACTGGAAGAAAACGGTCTCTAAATTGTTCTAGAGAATGCAATAAGAAAACCTTGTAGGGATAACTGAGAATTGAATAAAGACTCAAGATTTTCATAGAAGAAACTAAGTGAGTTTTTCCCGAGCGAACGGAGTTCAAAACTTCGTATTCGCTTTGAATGTAAAACAACAACTACCAAGAGTCCAAACTCTTTTTCGTCGATCAATTTATGAAGTTTAAGTGCCTCTTTACATTCACTAAACCCTCTTTCTAACTACTCCATCAGGTAATCTAACTCAATAATTCGCCTTCCTTCAATTAATATTTTGTGTTTTTCAGTTAAGTTTCTCCGCCGCTTGATCTTTTTCGTCTAGTTTTTGTCACTTCGCCGGTTCTCTATTTCTGACAAATCTACCATCTTTTTCGTTGTTTTCTCCTTTTCACAACATTTATTTTCATTTTCAATGAAAAGTGCGCATGAAATGTTTGCCCCGTCTTATGCTTTATACGTTTTCACAAAATCGCATACGTCGATTACCTTCAAAATGTTCCTTTTAAAACTAGATACGGAGTAAAACTAAATGAGCAATGACTTTTGTGAATATATAGCTCTGAAATATTTATTTCGGCCGTATAAAATCCATTGTTTGGTTTTGAAGTAAATTATGCACTATATACTTCCCTTCAGCGCACGGTGGCATCTCCCAGTCACGACCTCTTCTATGGAACTTGTTTGCATTCAAAAAGCATTAATACCATCATTGACCGTCTGTTGTTTGTGTTTAGGACAGCAGAATGGGTATTTGGAAGCCTGCTGAACCATGCCCGAGTTGTGCATATCTAAACGACCAGAACTTTAATTTTTGTTGGGTTTAGAGCAAAGCCCGTGCCACCGCCGGTTGCGCCTATCAGGATCAACACAACTCGACAGGAAAAAGAAGGACAAACCCCATGAAAACAGAAGTCTGCACTTCATCGTGAGTTCACAACGTTCTTAGCCTCGCTGCCAACCCCGAAATCGCTTGCCTCAGCCACRCCTTGAAACCTAGTTTCGTTTCTGGTCTGGAAGGTCTGGAAAGACAAAACAAGACGAACCAAAGTCTACCAGACGAACTGCTGCCAAACCGCTATCAACGCTAGCACCTGCGATTGCCTCACGAGACTAGCGGCTGGCACTGTCGATAGTCTGATTGGCAAATTGCGATCAATCTTCACCCAGGCCGAACGGGGTGGTAGTTGGAACTACGAACTCGGTACGATGAACCCACCCTCACACCACTACGTGACAGACTACTTAAAAACCATCAAAGAAGAACAAGCAGAAGCCAGGGTACGCCCTAAGAAGGCGGTGCCACTATTCATGAACAAATTAGAACACCTAGCTAGCCCAGTATATTTAGCGAATTGCAAAAGGGGGATAGCGCCCCCATCGCCCTTTATATCCTTAGTCGGGACTTATCTTTCTTTAGTTTGGATTTTTTTCTCGGGAGACCGCGCGGCAGATTTGGGCGTGACGCTGTCTAGGGAGGTGATGTTCTTTCCCGACAGGACACGCCTGTTGTTTCATCATGCATTTGGAAAAACTTTACGGGGGAACGCCCTTAACACATTCGCTATCCGCCGCTGTTCCAGCCGCATTATTTGTCCAATAACTAACTTTGATTTTCGGCTACGTCTCGGCATTTGAAATTCCACTCGGATTTTGAAACCCCAATAGAATACAGCAACTCGTATTTGAAACATTACATATAAATATATCGCTTACTCTCAAAATGTGTCGAACAGGGAAAAATATGTTTCTTTGTAGTACTTGTCTTAAATTCAATCATAGGTAGTCCAAGTGAACGCATATTCATTCCTTTAGGTTTATGATATGATCGCGCTCATTAAAAACCATTTTACATTATTTTAATAAAACGTATTAATGATATATTTAACCTTCCGAAAATATTTCTAATACTGTTATCATAAAATTGTCCCAAAAAATGATATCTAAATCTCGGTCACAAACATTCGTACTTTTATATCATTTTTGCTCCAATATTCCCAGTATCTTCGAAGAAAAAATCAACATAATTGGCTTGAAAATTCAGTAACGTTATCCACGTGATCCAGTCACGTGCTCAATCCTCAATCTCACCTTGTTTATAAAAGGAATTCCGTTACGTTTGCCATGATATGCCATAGCACGTCCAAGGCCATAGTTTTACGTCCTGTTTAGAATTGTTAATATTAGCCTAGGGAGTTATTGCACATTGAGCATAACGAATAAACGGATAAATTGACTTAATATTACATCAAATAAAAGAAGGAAGTGGAAGAGAATCGTAACCATGACAACAAAACTGTGGTAACTAAACAGTAACCACGACAACAAAGCTGTGGTAATCATAATAGTAATCATGACAACAAGGCTGTTATCCTTTAGAGTAACCATGACAACAAGGCTATAGTAACCGTGAGAGTAACCACGACAATAAGACTATAGCGTAGTGTAATCACTGAACTGTATGTTGCCATCAGCTGGATACTGATCCAAACATGCTGAATGTCCAGGAGTAGGACACGGAGTAAAGTGTGATGGGTTATAGAAGGACCATCCTGTAACATAGCCTAGATCCATCCAGTGCTCAGCATGCCTAAAGTGATTAGGACCATATCGGTTACGTGCGTACAACCCTGGGTTACGAACCACATTCACCCACTCTCCAGCGAAATTGATCTAGAAAGAAAAGTTCAAAAACATTATGTTTTACTTATTATGCTATTACAGGGTCTACATCAAAAACCGTCAAAAACAGACTAACAGCAAACCAATTGGACAAAGCCATCTACAGATATTTTATAGGCTCCTGAAGCGGATCCAGGGGGTGAGGTTCCTGGGCTACCTGTGCTCTCCCTTCCTGTTTATGAGAAATAAGCCTCGAAAAATATAAGATTTACAATTGTTTCTGGTGTCTACCGCTAACCCAGAATTCTACTGATTCTCTCTCGAATTCTTTTCCAAATCGATTGCGCGCAGCTGTGTTTCGTTGTTGTATGGTGTTGTACCTTAGTGGATGGCTGTCCTCTAGCTGCTAGTATTTCTGATTCCATCATGTGCTGTCCATACATTTCGATAGTAAAACCAGGTGTACCGACTCTAAACTTGCCCCCTGCCTGCCTGCCGTCAACACAGCACCACAAGGACGGATCATCGTCAGTCAAAGAATAGCCCTAGATGTACAAGTATGAATGACTGGTATTGTATCTACAACTTCAACTAACAAAACGAGGGACAAGGAAAAGACAGTAGTCCAAAATAGGGACTCCATTTTATCGATTTAATTGGTGAGTACAGGTAAATATCTCCTCTTCCGTCTGAGACCCTTTGATATGCTCGATACTGGGTGTTTGTAGTGAATATTTACATAAATAAGTTGGTTAGCATACGTGAAGACAGACAGTACATTCAATTCCGGTATTTCAGTTACTGTTTACTGATTTAGACAAAATCCAGGATCTTACTTCCGAAGGTGTTGGATACCGAGCAACCCAACCCCTCCCCTCTAAACAATCGTGTTGATCTTATCCCTAAAAGTAACGCATAGCAGGCGCTTCGCACTACCCAATACTAGACAGATTTAACAAATGCACACAACGATGCAAGTAGGGATTTTTTTTTTGTGGGGAGTTTTCTTGACTTCTGTTTTGACGGAAAGAAGACATAACGCCCTGGGCCCAGTTGCATAAAGCTCTCTTAAGATAAAAAAGTTTAGAAACACTCGTAAGTATTGTCTTAGTACAATGGCCTATTGTTTTGGAACAATACTTATGGATGCTTTTATCTTAAGAGAGCTTTATGCAACCGGGCCCTGGTAAGGAGAACAATCTTAACTGAGACGCCAATTGGCTCATGGGAAAACAATAATCAGAATGCGCACAAGATATCTGCCCCACAAATAATCTAGAGCTCGAGTTCTCTCACCTGTTCGATAAACTTTGGTCTAAGCTTCTTGAATGCGGTATAGTTTGCTGTCAGAAATGTTATATCGGCGTCTCTCTCCCAGGGAAGGACTTTGTTAAATTTGACAGCACCTAGTATAGA